AAACAATGAGGTGCAAATGGAAAAAATGATCAGAATCATGACCAAACATGCTACAATGCAAACAGTAGTGAGGATGCTTTTCAAGCAAAATCTGCTGCCAATAACTACATCCCGCTCTATTAAAATTCCAGTAATTGAGGGTCTTGTTAAATTAAGTAACATCCCGCATTAAAATTCTAGCCATTGAGGGTCTTCTTAAATTAAAGGTAGGGGCATCAAGCATTAAAGTTTTACCATACATTGGCAGCTATAGAAAACAAAATTTCGTGATTGAACAAATGCATTTTTAGACCTGGAAGTCTAAGCCAGACATGAATAATAGGAAGCTCCGTCTTAGGGTCAAACTCTTGTCCATTTAAGGACCTTCATCCAAACATCACCAAAATGAACAGTTCTACGTGCAAAAAACTTAGCATGATCATCCTCGTTAGAGATTTGGATCAGAATATGCTGGATGTCCAGAGCTCCAATATTCCAACCCCCCGATAATTTCAAAAGATTAAAGTTCTTCATAAAAAAATCATATTTCGGAAGCCCATAAAGGAACTTACCAACAAGATGGAAACGACAAGTAGAGGCGAGAATAGAGTTTTAAGAATCGGAGAGAAAAAACGCACACTTCCCCCCCTTACGTTTTTGATATTTAATGAAACTGTATTCCCCACCGAGAACAAGTGATTCGTGAAAAGAAGACGGAAAAACAAACTTCGGAGGAGACCCAGAGGAAAAAACCTTCGCAGTGACCCCAACATACGTCTTTGCCATGACCTTAGAGAAAAAGAGAAGTCGAGAGAAGAAACCGAGAGTGAGGGAAAAGCCAAAACCATAAAGTAGGAAAGATCTCACCAGAGAAAGGCCGTCGAGAAGGATACCACGCCGTCAGCATCCCCGAATCGCCGTGCGATCGCTCTTATCCAAACCCTAGCAGAGCGCCCGCGTCGTCCAATATATATATATATATGTATATGTATATGTAATATGTAATATGAAAGTTTAGGTGTGGATAGGTAAATACATAACAATTATGTGCTGTTTATATAAATTTCCCTTAATTTATCAACAATCTAACATTTACTCTATAAATTCTTTTTTGTTATTTCTTAAATGTGGTGTAGAGAGTTACAAATCACATAAATTATATAGATAAATACAAATTGCAAAGTACGGACATAGCTATATAATATGTTAAAGCAATTTAAAAATCACCTATAATTTTTAATGAGTATTATAATTTTTTTTAATGAAATAAGAATAATTAAAAATGATAATCAATAATTTTTAAATCAACTCACAAAATTTGGTTTTAGCAAATAAAAAAAATCGTTATAATCATTGAATTTTTTGTAAACGAGTGTTAATCAATAAAATCATAAGTTTTCCTAAAATACTTTGAAAAAATAAATTATATCTTGGCTCCATTGAATTGAGCAATTTATCCCGCAAAGGATGTTGACGTTCGTTGGCGAATGAAACACTTTTACAGTTGCAGTTGAGGGTAATGTCGAGGGAGTTGGGATGGCGTGAAACTGTTGTTAACATGGAGGCTGAGTAATTCACAACTACTCTTTGGTTTAGGGTGAAGCTGTGAAGGTGTGAATGTTATGAGGCGAGGATCGAGCAATTTTATATTATTAAATGAATCAAAACCAGTAAACCGGGCCAACAATTGTGCATAGCTCTTCACAAGGCCACTTCACTGTTAGATACAGTAAAGCACACACTTTCTCAATTTGCTGCTTGTGACATGGATGTGAAATGGAATTCCTCACATATCTTTGCATTGCTTTAAAAATGCACTTCAATATATACTCTTAATTAGACTTTATGCATGGGGTATACTTTTTTAATTTCTTGACATCTAAAACTGGTATTTTTCAATATTATTTTATTCCTTCTAAAGTTAGGGAAACTTTCAAATATTGTTTTTGCCCATCCCTAAGCTTGCAAGATGTGATTTTGTTTGACATTGGTGAGATTCCAATCCACGATTTTATTTTACATTATTTAAGCCCTGTATCAACCATATTAGCTGATAACCATTGAACTTTTAAATGGTTAGGTTATCAATCAAGCTGGTTATTTATCTACACACACACATATATATATGTATATATCCTCTCAGGTAGAATTTGAGAGTAAACGTTAAGAATGTACATATGAGTTGGTCAGTGTTTTTTATTATTGCACTTGCTAACGTGGTTTGAATGTGGCAAAAATTAATATTTTGCTGTGCGATATTCCTTCATAATGATGTGAGAATGGTATCATGATTATTATCTGTTACTGTTGATACTGCTTTATTTATGCCTCATTGGCAGTTAATAGAAAAATTATCCCGACTAGCATACGTGGGGTTTCAAGTTATTCTGCACTTTTAAGCTTTCATATGTACTCCCACCTCCCCAAAAAAAAAAAAATAATAATAACATCAGTAAAGAGCATTTGAGACATTTTTTGTTATATCTATGTTAGATTATCAAGGAATGGAATTCTGAACTTCAAGAACGGACTGCCAAATTTCGGAAGCATGCTACAGTAGTGTCTGAGTGGGACAAAAGGATCTTACATAATCGTGATGTTCTTATCAGGCTTGAGGTTCTTATATTTTAGCTTTAAATATTGAAAGATCTGAAGCATTTAAGTTTTCAAATGCAGCTTATGAACACCACCTGAATTTCTCTCTTTGTTTTTTAATGTTTTTAACTTCATTAATTTTACTCTTACTGTTTCTATTGGTATTTTTTTGTTTTAATTGTTATTTCCTCAATTTATTGTAAAATTGTAATTTGAAAATGTTATGTGAAACCTCTGGTCCATTATGATAAAATTGTGAACAAATTTAGCATCGGGCAAGCTCTTTTAGCTTGAGTTGATGGGGTTCTTGTTGGCTTCGGGTTGCTTGGACATGTTGGAGCTAAAACCACTCTTCACAATTCATTTTTCCGCTCATATTCACTTACTTCATTGGGAACACATCTTCATGCTTTGTCATAAAGTAGCAACATTTTTTGCCCATTTCGACACTGAATGTGAAATAATCAGGCTCACTTCTAGACTAATGGGATCCGTGATGAAAATGCATCGAATATGAGATACAGGCTCACTTCTGGACCCAGTGTTAAAGGTATCGGGATTAAAATTAGGATAAGTGTGATACTTGTAATTTAGAATGTTCAGAAATTTTGTGAATCTACGCTAATAGAATGGAAAATGCAGCAGTAAATTGTTGGCATCACGGAATTGTGTAGTCCTAACACATTAAGGAATATAGTGAGTACAATAAAAATTATATGCTTGTAAATTCGCTGAAATTATGTGAGGTTGTCTGAAAGATCCATTAAAAATGATCCTTCAAATCATATCGTTGGTCACCTTAGTTATTTTCCTTGCTGGTTTTTGGAGAATTTCTTTTTCCATAAATAAATATCTTAATAAATAAATTAAAATGAAATTTTCTTTTTGTGGTTGTTTAATGCTTTTTGATCTACTCCCAATAAGAATAAAATGGTGTTTTTGGAGTTTTGTGATAGACTAACTTATGTTCCATCTTAAATGTTTATTTGCTCTTCTTTAACTTGACCAAACCTCATATTCTTTGTATTGCACTCCTTTTGCAGGCTGAGGTGGCCAAAGTTGTGGAAACTCAAGCTGGTTTGGTGAGACAGCTGGAATTAATTGAGACACATCAACAAGAGGTTTGATTGAAAACAGTTAGAATAGCTTATTTTAATATTTTAGTTAACTAAGTGTTGAACAATTGACTTGTGCTAGTCCAAAATTGATTCTTTTGATCATTGCTGGTTGTATTAGTAGTGCTAATATGCGGTCCACTCCTGTTCTGGCTACTGTCCTCTCAATATAATCTTCTGACTTCACTATCTAGACTGAATAATGCTTGGATGCATGCAAAATTTAGGGGTCTGATCTTGGATCTGTTTTACTCCAAGTTTATGATTTCAAGATGCTTGCTGTCATTGTTGCAACTCAAATTGAATAAATTGAGACAAGCACGCATGCTCAGTCTACCAACTACAAAAACAACAACAATAGACTTTTATCCCACTAAGTGGGGTTGGCTACATGAATCTTATTTCTCCATTGCGTCTTATTGAGTATCATATTTTCATTTATTTCTAATAAATTACGATCATTTTTTATACGATATGCCCAAGTCTTCCTTGGTCCGTCTCTACGGTTCTTAACATAAGTCGAATCTGAAACATCTACTCATTTAATCAGATCAACAGATGGTCGACATTTATTGTGACCAAACCATCTATTAAGCCCCCTCTCTCTATTTTTACCCGCCACTAGAGCTACACCAACCCGATCACAAATATATTCATTTCGCATTTTGTTCTACGTGTAAAGTCACTCATCCACCTAAGCATATTCTCATCTCGGCAACACTTAATTTAGTTTTATGCTTCTCTTTTAAGGTCAACATTCAACGCCATAGAGCATTGCAGGTCTTACCACCATCTTATAAAATTTTTCTTTCAGTTTAAGCGGTACTTTTCTATCACACAATGGGCCCAAAACATTCCTCCACTTTAACTAACCAACTTGAATTCTACTAATAACATCCCCATCTTTATCACCATCACTATGAACAATAGAACCGGGATATCTAAGCGTTCACATCTTTTAATATATTGATCACTTATAGTTACAACTCTATCACTAGAGCTACTATTGCTAAAATTACATTCCATGTATTCAGTTTTATTTCTGCTCAAACGAAGGCCTTTAGACTCCAATGTAGACCTCCATAATTCAAGTTTTCCTTAGCTTTCTCTCTAGTCTTATCCACGAGAAGGATATCATCAACGAAAAGCATACACCGAGGTACATCCTCCTGTAAATGTCGAATAAGAGCATCCATAATTAGAACTCTTCATAACTTTAAGCAAAAGGATATGGGCTTAAAGTCGATCCCTGATGTTAACCCAACTGAAATAGGAAAATATTTGGTCAATCCTCATTCTGTTCGAACACAAGTAACGACTCTAATATACATATGTTTAATGACTTGAATATAAGTCATATCAACACCTTTCTTCTCTAGAACTCTCCAAAGGATATCTATTGGAACCTTAGCATAATATTTTTCTAAATCAATAAAAATCATATGTAGATACTTCTTATTCTCTCTGAACTTCTCCATCAAACCTCTCAATAAATGTATAACTTCCATGGTAGACCTGTCCGACATAAATCCAAATTGATTATGAGAAATCTTTGTAATATGTCTTAACCTATGTAATACCATGCTCAATCTACCATTGCAAAAAATTTCTATATTCAACAACAAAATGGTCTTACATAGGCAATTCATGACTTAATACATGCATCCCACTACATGCATTTCATTTAATATTTGATAACAATATTTTATCATCCAACTATAATTGAGCCCTTAAATCTTGATCCTTTCATTCAAGTTTACTGCAAGATACAAAACTATGTCCATCATGATATGTTTCTAATTACGGTATCTGACCATCTAAGCATCGCAATTCATAAATCTAACAAACCATACAATAACTATATTGTGCATCTACAATCATATACCCAAGTTTTAAAATTGGCTGATTTAGCGCTGTGGCCTTTTCTTTTTATGCGTTAAGATGTAAACACCAAAATAAAATCATTAAATACATTACAAAAATGATGGATAAAAAATTTAAACTTAATATTTTTAACTATAACAAAAACCATTCAAAGCCATAGAAGCTTCAATAAAAGTAACAAGTCTTTGATAAAAAAATTGAACATAAATAGTCTGAATAGAAGTCCTATAAAAAATTAGGTTGACTTACGTCTTCAAATTCAATGGTCTCTCCCACTCCCATTGCGTAGGTCTTTTTTAGAACCATCATAATAGTTTATTGCTTTTGTAAATAGCCCCTTTATCCTCACTAAAATCAAATCCCCCCAATCCTCTTCATCATTTTTCTATTTTCTAATTAATTAAATCATTAAGAATGTTATTTAAAGCAATGGTTATATAAATTTTTTGTGATTTATATTATCTTTTTTTGTTACTTTTTTGTCCACTTTTGTCTCTTGTTCTGTCATCTATAAAATAAGTTAACATTGAGATTTTTCTTGTGTAATATTGACTTTTGTTATTCTTCATATTTCTGTTGATGATATATGGTTTAATTTATAAGGTTTAGTAAATAGAAATCAGGCTTTGTTTTAATTAGAATAACTACTTCGGCTATTTGGACATTTATTTTGTTCTAGCCCCACACATGAAAAAATTGTAGAGGCGCTCACCTTTTTAAAAATGCTTTAAGGTATGCCACACTAGCTTAAGCTCTACACCATTTTTTTCATTTGTGAGGCTATGCACGACATTTTACACACACTTCTTTCTATGGCACACAATGTATTGTGCAATTTTAAGCTACAACTTTTACAACTTAGGTGGGGTAATATAGTTTGCATTTAATACCCTTTATCGTATATGTACTGTCGGTATATCCCTCGTTGGGATGAGCGGTATACAACCCATTTTTTTGTTATTTGTCATATTTGTTTCCATGTGGCTGATATATCCTCTTTTAGTTTCGAGGGACACAACTCCTATCCTTTGATCTTTTAACAACCATATAGAACAACATAACCAACTGGTACCACGAGAGTTATACCACCCAACCTTCATATACATGGCATTGAATTTTACAACCTTCATATACTACCCAACCTTCATTAACATAACTTTTTCTTTAAAAGCAATTGGCATAGCATTGACTTTTACAATCCTAGTAGCAATATATCATGGGAATCATCATCATCTCAAAAGTATGGTATATGAAATAATGATGACTACAATAGATTAACATATGGAATCATCTTGATAATAGTGGCATCACATATATATTAAATCAGTTTTCACGAGGATAACAATAATATGAAATTGGGATCATATTGTCGGTCAACTTTTTCAATGGATTGATTTGAAAATATGGTATATGAAAATAATTTTTGAGATTTAATTTAAGTATAAAAGATATATAGTTTGAGTTTTGAAAGTAGTATGTTTTAATTTTTGAAAAATGAGACCAAATGGATCTCATTAGTCTGATAGTTTGCATAATCGTGCCTGATACCGCGAATACTACACC